CAGCAAGTCCCTGAGGTCATGTGATCAGGGCCTGCTGGATGTGCAGCACAACAGACCGAGAGGCAAAGGAGACAGAGCTTTTGCAACAGACCTCTCTCGCTCTGAGCATGACATCTGTGGACTTGTTTTTGGGTAACTTTTTCTTATCCAAAGACTACAAAACTACAGTTGCTGTTAATTGTTGTAAAACTACAGCAACTAATACTGAAGCTACACCAATATTACATTTAAACTACAAAAAAATTGAACCAACCACTAAAATTCAAGCGACTGTGAAATATGGCAACTACAGCAGCAAAGCCAAATGCTGCAACCACAGTAACGCCTTCATCTGAACACGGCAATGGCTGCAACTAAAACCAGCAGAAAAGCAACATCTGAAACTAACCATTGCAACCATCTGTACCAAACAAATCAAAGCAACTACAGCAACTTAAAACCGAGCACATTAACGGCTCACAAAGCCCATCGCTAAGAATTTAGTGCATTGCTTCAAGGAACTAATCGAGAAGACAGGACACGTTTCCATAATTTACAGTGGTCGTTATCAGCTCCTGTTCTTTGGGGGTTTTATGGAAAATATGGCCTTAATTTGGAGACACGCAAGCAGTAAAAACTCCAGACGTTTATCCCAATAACTGCCTTTTTAGTTTGCCCTCCAAATAGCATAAAAAAAACCCTTAAACCTCGATGTGTGGGAAAAGAAATACCCACAGTGTTTACTGAAAAATGAAAAGTGTCTGATTCTGAATTTAGAGTGTATTTTTACGAATACAAAGTGTACAGGTATTGTTTCTGTTAAGAGACATCTACCTGTATGGCTCAAATATTTTATACATTAGAAGATATATATAAATAAATCTAAATACGACCTAGGTACTTACTAAATAATAAATTATTCCCTTTAAAATATATATTTAAGTCTTTTGGACTGTCAGTGCGCCCCAGGGTGGCTGTGGCTACAATGTAGCTGCCATCACCAGTGTGTGACTGTGTGTGTGAATGGGTGAATGACTGGATGTGTAAAGCGCTTTGAGGTCCTTAGGGACTAGTAAAGCTATACAAATACAGGCCATTTACCATTTTGGAGCACTTTAAAAGAAGCAGGTGAAACTATCACAGCCCATGCTCTCAGATTTGGTGGAAAGCAGTGCAAAAAGAGAGAGAACTTTAGACTGCGTCGATCTGTTTCCAAATGAATGGTGTTGCTCTGTAACAGCTGGATACATTGCTCTTTAATACCATAAACTGTATAAACATGGATGCAGCTTCTGGGTTAAAAGCCAAAGATATACCTGAAGTGACTTAAACCAGCATTCTTCCTAAAGGGACGACTTCTTGTTTCCTTAGAAGTCCTGAAGTGAAGCAGTGACCACAGGAAACACTTTCCCTGTGGGTTTTATGATGTTTTTCTGTCTCCTTTACAGTCAAAAAGCAGCAGGGTTTGGTTTACTGTATGACTGACAAGTCATTACTCCATGTGTGTGCAGTGTTTGTCACTGCAGACCAGTTTAAGCAAACCTTTTACAACTTATTTTGCTTCCTTGCAGTAGACAAAATGTTTTTAACATAAGAAAGTTAAAGAATGAAGTCTAACATATATTTAAAAAAAGCAAACTCGTGGACTCTATCTCCCTTAACGCAGCCCTGCCATCCTTTAACCTTTTGCAGCCACCTGAGACCTCCCTTTCAGTTTATCTAAAAACCATTCAAGCGGTTACAACAACAGCGCTCTCAGCTGAGCCAGCTTGACTTCGGTGTCATGCCAGAGCTTGCCTCGCAAGCTCAAAACGCAGGCTGGTTCTGAATAAAAAATAAACACAGGGCCTCATTAGCATGGCTCCACTCTCATATCAGACTCATTTACAACGGCTGGGGAGGAACGAGTCATAACAGTGAGAGTTTGACGTAGTTGGGTGTTGCCTTGATCCTGGTAAACCACATCACTCCGTCAGGTGTCACCATGAGCTGGTTCTGTGAAGCAGAATCTAATTAGATTGTGGCCAGCGCTGCTATTAAAATCACCCTTTTGCTTTCGCTCTGCCTGTCTTCGTATAGTGTTAGGTTGAAGAATGAGTACAATGAAAGGGACACCGGGTGAGCCAGACAGAGAGGCAGCAGCCAGCAGACGACCACCAGACGCTCGATGGTGCCACGGCTTTAGATTAAAGAAAAGCAGAACCCCTTTTTCTGAAGGTCAAGTTGACGACTGAAAGTGCTCTGTAGGTTGTGTAATCTTTATTTCCCTTATGTCCTTAATCCAGTCTGTCTCAAGAGCAGGAACAAGATGTAAACACAGAGTGATGTTCATATGTTGAATGTGTATTTTCACTCTCTTTTAGCTCTGCTCTGCTAATGCTTAGATGACAAATTAAAGGAAAACAATCAAGACCACAATCAAAATGTTGTATTGCACGCAGTGTCCATCTTTTATATACAGTCTATGACAGGTAGCAAATAAAGACATGGGGGTATAGCTCAGTGGTAGAGCATTTGACTACAGATCAAGAGGTCTCTGGTTCAAATCCAGGTGCCCCCTCTTTGAATAAGGACTGATTTAGTTATTTATTTGCTTAAGTTGAAAACAACCTTTCCAAGCTGGACCATTCGGCAGTTATGCCCAATATGGCCATATTGGGTGGTGCAAATTGGGCATAACCTTTTGTTTGGTAGGGGTCAGCCAATCAGAAGAAAGTTCCCTTAAATGAGAAGCCTAAGATAATTTCAGAGACAGTGGATAAAATGCAGCCTATCTGACTGAAAAACCAATGGATACTGGTTAATCGAAAGATAGCAGTGCTCTAAACCAGGGGTGGGGAACTCCAGACCTCAAGGGCCGGTGTCCTGCAGGCTTTAGATGTGTTCTTGATCCAAAACAGCTGATTTAAATGGCTAAATGACCTCCTCAACATGTCTGGAAGTTCTCCAGAGGCCTGGCAATGAACTAATCATTTGATTCAGGTGTGCTGACCCAGGGTGAGATCTAAAACCTGCAGGACACTGGCCCTTGGGGTCTGGAGTTCCCAACCTCTCCCCTAAACCATATGCTTGTGCCTTTTTGTGTATATTTTTTAAACTTTAACTGGGAGCCTCTCCCATTATCATTTCCCAAATTGCACATGCTCAACTCCTCGTCTCCCAGTGGAGATGGGAACACGGAAGAGACATGAGGAAGTGAGTCAACACACACTTAAGTAGAAGAGACATGACTTTAAATTTATGTCCATTAATTAACTTAAAGTGATGTCAGTTGATACGAAAACTGGGTTAATTTTCCGAAAAACCTATATACAGCTGGTCATTACAAAGAATACAGCTTTAAGGCACAGCCACATCACCTTCGCTTTTCAAGAGTGGAACTTATGTCCATCTTTTGCAAACAGTCAACAACAGAAAGTGGGGGTATAGCTCAGCGGAAGAGCATTTGACTGCAGATAAAGAGGTCTCTGGTTCAACTCCAGATGCCCCCACTTTAAATAAGGACTTTGTTTTATTTATTTATTTGCTGAAGTTGAAAAACAACTTTTCCAACCTGCACCATTCTGCAGTTATGCCCAATATGGCCATATTGGGTGGTGC